TATACGCTTAAAGACACATGGTACGCTCATACACATTGAGGGTGTATGAGACTATCAGCCCCCCAGATGTCGATGTGTCGTGGTCCCCCCGCCCAAACATGCCCAGGAATGGAGATACAGGGCCGTGAAACACGCTAATTCCTTCCATGCTCCGCCCACTGCCTTTTTACGGCGCAGATTCCCGCCGTTCATAACATCCGTTGCAAGCGCGCCTGTCGCGTGCGGCTCCTTGGCACTTTGCCAAGTCCTTAATGACGCTTCAAATACAAGTAAAACGCAATTTCCTGATGCGGATAACATTGGAGGTGCTGCAAAATAAGAACAGAAGATGATGACGAGGGTCAGAACTTAAAAGCAACTGTGCCACTTCTGCAACATCCCTCGGAGGCCGCGTATTTCCACGAAACATGAAAATAAAAACGGCATACTCGTTAGTTTAATACAAGCAAGACGCAATTTCCTGATGCGAATAAAATTTGAGTTTTTCCTCATGCTTCAAAATCCATGTACAAGGAGATGAAGATGACACAGGCTAGAAATGAAGCACAACGATGTAAATGTAAACAAAACAAAAATGAAAAAATCAAGGAAAGGCAAATTAGATAAACTGGCCTGTAAATTTCTACGATCCGGCGCCAAAGCCATAGAAATACTTAGAACAAACGAGTGGGACGCTTGGGCTGTTTTTATTTTCATGTTTTGTGGGAATGCGCGGCCTCTTGATGGATACTGCAGATGCAGCCGAGTTGCTCTTGAGTTCTGGCCCTCGTCATCATCTTCTGTTCTTATTTTGGCACTTCAATGATATACCCGCATCACAAATGCGTTTTCCTTTGTATAGAGCGCAATAAGGACTTGGCAAAGTGCCAAGGAGCCGCACGCGACAGGCGCGCTTGCAACGGATGTTATGAACGGCGGGAATCTGCGCCGTAAAAGGCAGTGGGCGGAGCATGGAGGGATTAGCGTGTTTCACGGCCCTGTATCTCCATTCCTGGGCATGTTTGGCGGGGGGACCACGACACATCGACATCTTAGGGGTGATAGTCTCAACACTTCATCGTGTATGAGCGATACTAGTGTCTTAAGCCTTAAAAGGTATTGAGTGAAGTCATCCTCAGTGGCTTAGGTTGACCTAATCGTCGTCTTGAAAGGTTTTTAATCTGTTAGAGTACACTAGTAAGTTAGAAAGTGTAAGATTTTGTGAGAAGACGGTAAAGTCCCAACCTGCTTGGCGTCGGTGGTTCAGCTACGTCTTCGGTTCGCTATCCTCTCGTTCACCCGCTTCTGGGTTACCAGCCGTAGTCTTCTTTTTGGCTTTAGGCACTCCAAACAGAATCGAATTTTTGTATAAGTCTTGTTCCAAGCTTCTCGCGCTGCTGCTTGCTGGACGATATGCACTTGTACACTGAAGAGCCTAAAGTCTGGCATATGGTATAGACAGTTATTAACAGATGTAGCTTCGACTGAAACCTTCCCACAAGAGAATACACTTGCAACTGACAAGGAGAGTCTTTCATGTCGTGCGCGCGCTTTTCGGCAAATGATTTGTTGATTTGCAGAGGCCGCATAGGATCACAAATGGCCTTCCTCTTTTGCTATCGTTTCTGGGCTAGCTCAAACCTGAGTGCAAAGTTGCTGAGGACTCAGAACGATTTTAACCATTTTTTTTGAGCCTTTCAATTCATAAATGTTAAGTATGCATAGCAGGATAAACCTTCGTCAGACTAGCCTCGAAAACAATTACAATTACGGTAAAAACTACTATTATTTGCACATAGTGACGGCAGCATTGTAGTTTTCAATAAATTCTTCACAGCATCCCACCGCAGCTGACGTGAGGGGGTGTTCAGAGCCATGTTGGCGCCAAATGACCTAGACGCCAATTTTAAAGGTCAGAATCGTCATCAGGGCCATTAATAACCTCTATATACAGACTTTCAGCAAAAATTTTCTCCTCGAGATGGAAGATCGCCAGCCCCTGCTGCGGGATGGCAATCATTCAGTGGAGACGCTCTTGCAGCAATCGTCGCTTAGCTGCGCCGCGGTCAAAAAATGGGGTGCGTAAATTCAAACCGACAAACTTATAAAGTAATCCGAAAAGTGCAGAGTTAGCTCGCGCAAGGAGATCCGATCAAGAACCTTGTTCGCATGAAGGAGCCCAAACGCACTATCCACTCCGCCATCGCCGACCACGAAAGCATCGGGTTGCGAGATCAGTTGCAAGTAACTTTTTTTCGTTGACTCCCCTCCGTCCACTTCCTTATTTGGCCTTTACTTTGCTATCTTTTCAATACATAGTGAAGGGACACCTCATGAATTATGCACTGTCAAAGTTACAGCTACAACAGAGCCCATTAACACGGTTAAAATCGCGATTTCTCGTCAAATTGTTTTCACTCAGTTTTTGACCTCCCCAGAAACGCATAGCAAAAATGAAACCCATTTTTGTAAACCTTGCATGGACCCCTACAACAAGCAACAAACCATTTTTAAAAAACGCGCCACGACCTCAAAGACCTCCCTTGTGAGAGGCATGTTAATTGCTGACCGTAAACAACAAGATCAAAGTTGCCTACAACGAATCTGGCTTATTATTGCATAGTATGCAACTTAGAGTTGCGGCGTTTCCTACTCTGAGTCAAGAGGTCACATAGAGATCAAGTAATACCGTATGCTACCGTACTTATCGTGAGTCACCGCCCACCTTCTAGTGAGCCGTGAGAAATCATGAAGAGAAAGAGATCATAAGTCACTGATTTCAAGGCATAAAATGTTAATATGAGCAATATCTATTTATGAATAATATACGCACATTATTAGGTACAAAATATGTTGTATTTACATGAGATCGGCCTATGCGGCTCTCGTGCTAAGTGGTCCTTTCCGCACACTTATCAGTTTAGTCATACGCTCGAGGACTTTAAAATGGCGCTTCTTGCTTCTTCCTAATTTGCCTCTTTGCTGGGTTATCACCGTTCGTAAATCGCCGCTCTTTCGGTCTTCCATTGAGCGCGATTGTCTTCTGCGCCTTTACTTCTTGACTTTCTGTCGTTCTGGACCGGCTCTATTATGCCCTTGTCGAGTTGGTCCTTTATGACTGCATCGTATTCTGCAAGGAGTTCTGGGTTTTTGTTCAGATGGAGCACAGATGACTGCAGTCTTTTGAATGCTATAGATTTGTTGGTTGGTAGAAGTTGAGCGTTTTCCTTCCATGGTAGATGGACATGGTAGCCGTCTGCACGTCTTTCGATGGTTTCTTTGAACCGCTTGGCAACTTCTTCATTTATCCGTTGCTTTTTCGCGTTCGTTCTGACCTGTACTCATTCACCCTGAGACTCGAATCCCAGTGCGGTCGTCGATCTTTCGAATCCAGAGCGATTCATCGAGACTGCATGCAGAATTCGGCGATTCCAATCCGCCTTGACGTCCCGATATCATATACCCAAATTTGGTCGAAATGAGATGGAGTCCTGAGGGTAGTTTTTCCTTCTTTTGCTCCATAACATCCCAAAGATAGTCACATCCTAGAAGAATCTGCGCTGGGCATTGCTTTTCATCTAGTTTAGTAGAGAAGATGAATGCCCTTTCGTTTGATTACACGCAGGTCTTCCTTGACAATGTGGCTGTCGCGTGAGGGCGGTTAATTATTGGCGCCCGTCGCATAGATGGAAGGTGAGTATTTCTTCATTTTTGTCCTTTTATCTTGACTTCCACCACTTTATGTCGCTTTTCGACTACTTCATTTGAACCAAACGTTCTCAGGCGTAGTTTTGCCGTTTCTATTATCGGCAGTTGTAGTTCTTCCACTAGGCTTCTATCGATGAATGATGTTTCCATCCGTTCAGCAAAATTTTTGATTTCCATCGAGCCATTTTTCTCCCAAGAATAGTGGCGGTTCTGTTAAGAAGTAGGGTTTCTGCTTTGTTTGAGCCGAGCCGTATGGCCCTGCTTCCCTTTCTCTCGTCTTGGATTCATTTTTTTCGCCATAATCGCTTCTGATGTGACGCTTCTGTGAACTACTGTATGCTTTCGTCGTTTTCTTAGACGCATCTCTGGAGTGCGCGGCGGTGCCCCTTACGGTTGCTGAAATACTGGTTGGGTCGGTCTTGTCATGTAGTTACGCCTTTCTTGTGGAATTGGATTTCTCTGTTGACTGGTAAGTACTCCACATAGCGATATGTCGTGTTTCTGTCCACATTTGTAACATGGAGGGCTTCGGCATATCCTCTGCTGTGTGATATGGCTTTCCGCAGGTTGAACACGTCATTTCTTAGTCAGATAAGCTGGTCTTTTCTGACTCTTTGACTGTACGACAGTCAGATGATTGGTGACCGAATCGTTTGCAATACATGCAAATGAGTCTACTGTCACGGATTGGTTGGCTGGGTCTTCTAGCAGAGCTTTCTTGAACGACGTTAATCTTGGAACGCGTTTCTTCGATATACTGCCTTCGTTGAAGTATACCGCTAAGCTCCTTTTGCATTTGCCCATGTCCAATCCCTTGGATTCTCCAAATCGGCTCGTTTCTCGAGGGCCCGCTGTTTGAATATCCGCATCGAACTTGCTGAAAATCGTATTGAGTAGCATTCGATGGTCATGTCTTGGCTTTATGGCTAGTTGGCTCATCGTTGCTGATATTTTCTCCAGTAGTTCGGTTTGGGATTTGGTGCTTTTCCATTCTGCTTTGCTATTGTAGATTTCCGCAAAGAGCTCTTCTATCCTTGTGTCGTTATCCCCATATTTCTTCATGAGACAGGAAACGGCTTCGGTAGTTTTTCTCTGAGACTTGGTATCTTGAACATCAGTGCTCGTGCTCTCCTATACAGATACGTGCCCACAATAGTTGAATTTCAGCATAGGGCTGATATTCTGTTCGTGTATATTCGCGGAGAATATGGCCCAGAAGTTGTCCCAGTCAGCTCTTCGTCCTGAGAATTTTGGGATTTCCAACCTTGGTAGATATGATGGCATTGTGTAGGTAACGTGGAATGGTCCGGCGTTGAATGGTAGAATGTCGTCATCTGGTGTTCTGCTCGCTCGTGTCGTGTCGCATTGGAGCATAGCCAAGTTGGAACACTCGGCCAATGTCGATTGCCTGCCATTCTGCTTTCTTTCCGATGAGGCTGTCGCACATAACTGGGTTCCGCCTTTCTTACAGCCTCGACGCCCTTCGAGATACTGGTTCAATAGGACGCGCAATGCTCTTGGCTTTCCTCGCGTCGTCCACAGTTCCGTACGACGTGGAGTTGTCCCATAGCTTCGTTGACGCATTCTTTCATTGCCACAATGTTTGCTCTTTTGGATTCAACGGTCGTCCTTAACTTCCTCAGTGCTTCGATCTTCTCGATCATTCCTGAAATTGATCTGGCCGCCAGAAACCGCTTGCGAGGTCTGCGATGGGCTTCTTCCAAAGCGATCCGGGCCAGGAGTTAGACGAGCTTTCGCTGCTTTCATCATACTTGTTTACCAGTGAGATCGATAGACGAGGTTACGGTACTAAGGAATAACAAGAGGCAAAAAGGCCAAATCCTTTTATTGATTATTTCTGGCACCGGTTCCCGGCCGATGCACCATAAGTTAGAAAGTGTAAGATTTTGTGAGAAGACGGTAAAGTCCCAACCTGCTTGGCGTCGGTGGTTCAGCTACGTCTTCGGTTCGCTATCCTCTCGTTCACCCGCTTCTGGGTTACCAGCCGTAGTCTTCTTTTTGGCTTTAGGCCACTCCAATACAGAATCGAATGTTGTCCAAGCTGTCGTCGCCTGCTCCTTGACCGGCGATATGCACTTGTTACACTTAGAACTAAAGTCTGGATTGTAATGAGCAGGTATTAGACAGAGGTAGCTTCGGACTGAACCGTCCCACAAGAGAATACACTTGTAACTGAAACCTTTACTTGATGACGTAAACAACAAGAATCAAAAGTTGCTACAACGGAAATCTGGCTATTGATATGGCATAGTATGCAACTTAGAGTTGCGGCGTTTCCTCCTCTGAGTCAAGAGGTCACATAGAGATCAAGTAATACCGTATGCTACCGTACTTATCGTGAGTCACCGCCCACCTTCTAGTGAGCCGTTGAAGACATCATTGAATGAGAAGAGATCAATAAGCACTGATTTCAAGGCATAAAATGCTTAATATGAGCAATATCTATTTATGAATAATATACGCACATTATTAGGTACAAAATATGTTGTATTTACATGAGATCGGCCTATGCGGCTCTCGTGCTAGTGCGGGTCCTTTCCCGCACACTACAACCTACTCCACCAAGCGCCTCGTCAACTTTAGCGGCAGCGACATCGTGTCAGAACCGCTAGAGTTGACGAGCTAAACAACGCTAACGTAAACCTTTTCGCTTAGACGGTGGAACCATTGGTGAGTCTGTTTTTTGCGGTAGTAGCTTCCTTCCAGGTGTTCCTGACACGATGTTCGGCACTTGACGAGGCGTTTGGTGGGGTAGGTTGCGAATCTAAAACTTGAAACATGTTCAGGCCTCTGAAGACGACGATTGGGTCGAAACGTTAGGCCATTAATAAATGAGTTCCACCTAACAACCTCGTAAGGCGCAAAGCAATATAAACACTTCTAGCCTCAGTATTACCGGTGGCGTACCATAACGGCTGTGTCCAGTAACTTGTAAGTCCGTCACAGGTGTGAAAACACTAGTGTTAATGCAGAAACACAGCCTGCTACATTGTAGATGCGACCTCTAAAAGATCTCTAAGAAGGAATCAAAGCGGTTTCTCGATACTATTATCCTTTGATTTGTAGCGCACTATAATCATTCGTTCTTTAGGCAGAAGAAGAGGAAGTCCCGATACCGTATCTGGAGATCTTAACCACTCCAAGTGTTTGGGGAGTATGGATAGGAGCTCTTGGCGATTTGATCGCAGTTCAGGTAAGCCTCTTTCTAATCTCTTTTCATTAGGTCCAGGACCTTCTATTTTGTGTCAGTTTTGCTTTTCTGTGTGTTCCACAATAGAACATTACTAAGGTGTATACTACAACTCCATGAAGCGCCCCGTTATCCTTCACTTGTGCGCGCCAACCCTTTATCAAGGTTCAGGAGGCGTGCCTCCCTTAGGGTCGGTAATACCTCTGGACGGCTGGCAATGACCGCTTTCATAACAATT